CTGCCCCCACCAGGTGCTTTCATCACAGAGGAGCCTGGCTTCCCCCCAGAGCTGTCCCTGAGCTTCTCGGCTCTGGACAGTCTGCCCCCCACCACGCGGTTGACGTTTTTAGCGGTTCCCAGGACATGCCATCGGTGGCATCTTGTCGAAGTGTTTTGCAAATGTACTGTAATGACCTTTCAAAGTGACGAGTAGCAAATTAAAGTGATTGTATTGTTTCCTATTTCTCACTCTGATTATTTTTCATGTCAACCTGTTTGCCCTTCGGTCGAATGGGATACAGTCCCCACCACATAGGTAACTTAATTTCAGGAAAGCCCATTGAATGGTGGGTGTGAGCTATCACTAACTCAGGCAACCCCCAGCAACCCGGTAAGCAGGACTTAGCCCGACTGTGTAGATGAGGATGAGTGAAACCATCCCTCAGCCTCGCAGAGTTCGCAGGATAAAGACCATCACCAGAACCCTAAACGTGTGCTAAGTGTTGAGCAAGAGGGAAGCACTGAGGTTGCACCCTGAGCAGCCTGCAGCTGGTAAGAAAGCAGGTCCCGTCCCAGCACCGCAGCCGCCGGCCGGTATTCAGCCCTGCACTCAGGTCGCTCGGGGAAAGGCCTATGTGCAGGCAGGGGTGCAGGGCACAGCAGGTGGCTGCGGGAGTCAGGCCTCCAGGAAGGCCTTCCGAGCCTCCTGAGGAGCCTAAGCCTGACCCTGCGAGATCTGCGACAGCTTGGTGGGGAGCAGATGTGGATTCAGGAAGGGCAGGGCGTAGGTGGCTTTGAATCACTTCCTTTCCAAGAACTGCTTCCTCTTCCTCTTCCCCCAAGAAGTGCTCCTTGATCTCAGCCCTACAGGCACCTGGGCCAGGCCTCCAGGCCCCTCCACCTGTCTGCCCTCTGCAGCACCCACTCAGGTTCTGGAGCTCATTCCACCCCCCACTTGCAGCTGGTTCCCAGTATCACCTGCAGCTTTGAGCCAAGGCCTCCCTCATGCCACCTGCGTAACATCCTCTTAGTGTAACATGCCCACAATCTCATGGTTTTGAGCTAAATGCCTACTTTGGCCTCTCCCGAAACAGGTTCAATGGGCTGGTCCTAATTTTTCCTAATACACTTTTTTGTTTGTTTTTAGAGAGAGAAACATCAATTTGTTGTTCCACTTATTGATGCATTCATTGGTTGCGTGTATGTGCCCTGGCCCAGGATTGAACCCAAAACCTTGGTGCAGGGGTCCTCAAACTACGGCCCGCGGGCCACATGCAAATACAAATATTGTATTTGTTCCCGTTTTGTTTTTTTACTTCAAAATAAGATATGTTCAGTGTGCATAGGAATTTGTTCATAGTTTTTTTTTTAAACTATAGTCCGGCCCTCCAACGGCCTGAGGGACAATGAACTGGCCCCCTGTTTAAAAAGTTTGAGGACCCCTGCCTTGGTGTATCGGGATGACGCTCTCACCAACTGAGCCACGCGGCCAGGGCCTTTCCTAATACACTCTGAAAAAAACACATAGCCTTAAAATAAAAATGTTCACCTCTGCACCAACCAAGATCGTTATCCACCTCCCCTGAGAAAGACTGTCCCAGGGAGACCTTCCCAGCCCGACACACGTGAAGACCCTCCCGGAGCGGCCCTGCCTGTCGTCCAGCCCAGCCCCTCACCTCCTCCCGCCCTCCTGGAAGCCAAAAACTCGTTCTCACGGCTCAGCCTCACACAACCAAAGTATAAACGCATCCACAGGGAATCTATTCACAAGTGACCAAGTAGCATTTTCTGTTGTCACAAAGCCACGTTCTACTTCTAAGCTTCCTACATTGAGCCTGACAGTTCAGGGAAAAGGTATGATCCCATTTTCTGACTCAACCCCAAAACCAGCTGCGAAGCAGAATGACTCAGCCTGCCGTGGGGAGCCGCCCTTACCCTCTGGCTAGGAGGACAGGACGAGCTTCCTCACAGCCAGCTCCTCGTTAACAAACAACACACAGCCGTGCACAAAACAACCTTTATTGACAGGAAGGTGGGAGGAAAGATTTGGATTTAGGAATCCCGGGTGCAACTCCCATCTCGGTCACCAACACCCCAGTCCTCCAGAGCCCAGAGCAGGTTCTATGTTGGGACTGAGTGGGAGAGCGTCCCTTCCAGCTCTGGGGACATCGTGTGGCTCTGGAATACCCATTGAAGAGCTGGTCACACAGGAAGGACTGCAGGAGCATTTTGCAAAGGATTCCACACACAGGTCACCTCCGAACAAAAGATCCGATCCCAACCCACTGGCAGGCGGAGTCTGTGGGGTCACACAAAAGACGGGGCTCCTGGCACAAGTGGCTCCAGAAGTGTGGTCTGTACCCGACAGGCAGCCTCTGGGGGCCACCTGGGCACACCCAAGGCTCACGGGGAAAAGGCCACCTTGGACCCAGCAGAAGGCGAAGGCAGGAGGCAGAGAGCCGTGCAAGGGGCACGATGGGCCAGGAAAAGGCAGATCGAGTCACTAACCGTGGTGTTTCACTGCACACACGTCATCACACACACTTTGTGTTAAAACAACTGCGCCAGCCAGCGGCCAAGCAGTTCCAGCCTCCCACCCCTCCGACGAGGCCGTCCCAGAACGCAGACAACTGGGGGCCAGGACTGCTTCCCGCCCCCAAAGCCCCGTCTTCGGTCTTCGGTCTGGAACACCCTGTCTGCCCAAAGCCAGCTTTAAAGGGTTCACTTTCCACGCTGACAAATGGATTCCTGACTCCACATCAGCCACATATTTCAAACGCATTACCCAGCTAGTTCTACTTAAAAATCCCAACGACAGCCAAACCAAAGCACAGCAAATACAATCCTAGAGAAGATCTGTTTACTGGAACTAGCTACAAAGGCTCGCCATGTCGGCAGAAAGCGCAGAGCTGGCTCTGGTGAGAGCGGCAGTTACTTAAAAAGAAAAACTCACATTTCTTCAGGCCTGTTTTCAAGACAACCCCCTCGCTCAACGTGTATTTCTCCAGCGTCTGACTTTCCCAGGCTGTCAGAAAGCAAGCTACTTACTCTTTTCTGGAAGGATCAGGAGAAAGGTCTGTTTTAAAACAAACACCCTCCCCTCTACGCTTCCTCCTCCCTCCCCATCCGCCACCTAAATAACAGGGAGGGGATGTGCAATGGCTGCTGGGACCTAATCACTCAGCTTGAAGGCAGCTGGAGAAGACCATGCTTCTAAGGGTTAGAATTCAGCTCTCAGCATGGCTTTCCCAGGTGGAGGGCTAAGGGCTCCTGGGGAAACTTTTCCCGACCCCCAGCTGTGACACCTCCCACTGCAAAGGCACCTAAGACCCTTCCATCCCTCCCACCCCTGCCCCCTGAAGCCAGCTCCCCTGGAACCAACCAAGCCTAGAATCAAAAAGCCTGCTCTGCCCAGGGCCAGGGAGACACAAGAAGGGGGCGCTACGGTGGGAATTCATGCTGGGGAAACACACAGGATCCAAGTATGTCACCACCCGGCCGAGTTCTGAGCCTCCCACCCCAGGGGGATGGGGATGAGGGACTCCATGGGCTGGAGAAATACCACCTGACCCACCCCCTGGGCGAGGGCCGCACCCTCTACACCAGCCGGGGCCTCTCCTTGTTCAATGCTTTTAATACTTTTCAGATGGTGCAGTTGTTGTGATGGCCAGAGGCTATGCTGGTGGCCCAGACACCCCGTGCCTGCCCCCGACCCGACCCCCTTCCACCAGGAGATACTTGAAAGGGACCACGCTCCCCGCTCTGAAGCCGCATCTCGGGCAGGGAAATGTCATCTCCAGTCCGGTCCCGCCTCCTCTTCCCCGCGGTCTCCCACAAGCCCAGGAGAAGGGGCGCTCCTGGCCTCTCCTAGGAGCTGACGACGTGGCCGGACCAGGTCTCGTGCTTGGTGCCCGGCGCCAGGTGGGTGATGACCACCTCCACGGCCTGCAGCTTCTCGTGCTTGGGCGGGATGGAACACATCTTGTAGGTGACCTCGTCGCCTTCCACCGGCACGTACTCCCCTTCCACGCTGCGGGGTGGGGAGAAGCACTCAGCGCCCACACTCAGCCGAGCCGAGCCGTGGGATGCCACGCCCAGGACACAGCCCCTGCCGGTCACAGGGCCACCCCGGGCTTCTAGGGGAACTGCCCCTCCCACCCTGCTGTCAGAGGGAGCCACCATGCCTCAGTGGTGCCACCTGTCCCAGCCCCCACTGCCCCAGCCTCTCCCTTCCCGCTCCCTCCGTGCTGCTGCGGAGCCCGCACCCAATCAGCTGCTGCCCTGGGACCTCTGACGCTGAGACAGAGGAGCTCAGCCTGGAGGTGCTCACACTTTACGGTAAGCGTGGGCGACCCGGGGCCTCTTGGACAGAAGAGCAGGGGAGCCAGTCTGAACCAGAGAGAGAAACAAGGTGGCCCCACGGGAGATGAGTGATGCCTGGTGGAGTGATTCCCAGCCACCAGCCTCATGTCCACTGGTCCAGGAGTCCCAGAACCCAGGTTGCACCTGCTCTTCCACTCCCCAGAAATGGTGAGCCTTCCAGAAAGAACCTTTGTACTTAAAGCCAGTTCGAGGAGGGTCCTCTCCCCTGGGGCCATTCCCTGAAATCACCATCCCGCCCATGGGGGTGACGTGCCCATCTTGCTGCCCCTTTGATGAGACCCCACAAATCCCCTTGAGATCCTGAGCACCAGGGCCAGCTCCCCCAGAACTGGTCTGCCTCGGTTAAAGAATCACAGAGCAACTGGAGCTTCCCTCTTCGACCTGGCGACCAGGGAGCTCAGGATACAGGGGCAGCACTTGCCGCAGCAGCACCAGGCACCGCGGGACCTCTGCTTTCTCACCTGCCCCCACCCCCGTGTTCCTTACTAACTTATCTTTCCTGATGCCCTGAGCATATCCTTGTAAACCACCGCAAGTCCTTTCTGGAAAGAGGCAATGCACACCCACGTGTGCACTCACATACGTGATGCGATGCTTTAGCATCCTAGGTCTACGCTGTACAGGGGCCCTACTTACTAGTAAGACCTGCCGTGTGAGCAGTGGGAGGGGAATAAAGAAAGGGTAATTCTCCCACCACGGCCGACATCTGCAATCGGTTCCTATTTTCAAAAACATGGTTTCTATATACAGGGTGAGGCAAAATAGGTTTATAACTCTTCATGTGGAAAATGACACAATAACTAATAAATAATAATACAAGAGTAAACTGTGCTTTGCGCACTCACCACTGTAAACCTACTTTGGCCCCAGCCTGTGCAGAACACAACTTTCCCACAAACTGAAATGAAAGATCAGGGGATGCTGAGGCCAAAGGGTGGGGTGGGTAAGGGTGCCAGGTCAGGTCCCCACATAGCTGAAGGCCGGAAGTGGAACGCAGGCCGCAGGCCGCGGGGGCCTGCATGCGTGGGCCCCGCCCTGGGCCCTCCAAGGCCTTCCAGACACTCAGGAAGGAAGGATGTCGTCAGTGAGCAAGTGACTAGAGAAAGGATCCAGCTCCAACTTCCCGGATCAGAGGAGCCGGGCAGGAAACCACCCTGAGGCCAAACACAGGGGCGCCCCTCCCCATCCACCAGATACACTGGGCACTCGGCCCCATCCCACCCCAATGGTTCTGCATACACTGCGCACGCACACACGCAGACTGTCACCTGCAGCATCACATACACCAGCACCACCAAGTGCCGTCTCACAACCCCACCCCTGAACACAGTCACACGGGGTCCCACATGCCTGGCCTCACCCCTCACCCCTGCACCCATCATGGTCACATACTCTCCCTGCCACTGAGGAACCAAGACAGGGCCCGCCCAGCCCGCCCAGCCCCACGGACTCACTCGGAGATGTGCAGGAAGATGTCGGGGCCGCCGTCAGCCGGGGTGATGAAGCCGTGGCCCTTGGAGCGACAGAAGCATTTGCACACTCCTTTGTAGATGGGGCCCTGCGAGGCCCTCACCGTCCTGACAGAGAAGGGGGGGAGTGTGAGGGGGCCCCACCAGCCCTTCAGACAGACACCCACTCTCCTGGGGCCCACCCAGCTCATCCCAGCCCTGCCCACAGCTGTGCCCCCGGAGGTCCTGGCACAGCTCTGGGGCCATTCACACAGTACGAGTGACTCCCGGATGACCCTGGCAATTGTTCTCAGGACTCAGTCCCCCATTGAAAAGAGGGTATTAGACTAAAAGCTGACAGCAAATCAGTAATCAATCCGAGCAGCAGCCTCCACTCACTGGGCCTGAGGTCTGCATCTGCCAGGCACCGTGTGCATCCTCGGCAGCGCCGTGGCAGCCCTGCTCCTGTCCCCATTTTGCAGCTGAGGAAGTTGAGGTCTGACAAGGGAAGAGGCTCCGTGTGGTTAAAGGCCAGCGATTTAAGACCCCAGCGGTCTCGCCCCAGCTCCCGACAGGCTCCGGTGGGCCTGGGGCCGCGCCCTCCAGAGTTCGCAAGGCACTCTCCAGTTCTCGCCCTGACCCCAACCCCACGTCTCCCCCTGTGACAAACAGGGTCACTGAGGCACAGAGATGGCCACCAGTCTCTGGAAGCCTCCCCCAGCCAGCCCGAGACTCACGCGGAGAAGGTCCTGGTCCGGCGAGTGGGCAGTGGGCTGGGGACCACATTGCTCCGGAGCGGGGATGGTGAGCGGTTGCGGGCCCGCTGGGTGTCGAGCAGCCCGACCGAAGCCTGGTGGGTGGGGGGCTGTGGTGGCGCAGGAGGTTCAGATGACATGGCTGACCTGGAGAGAGAGGGGGGCTCTCAGGGGCTCACACCCCACAGGGAGGCCCCAGATGCATCCCCACCCCCACCTCGGGGAGTCTGCCATCGGAGACCCATTCCTCTCGCTGTGGAACGCAGGTCCCAGCTCCCTGAGCTTGCGGGTCACAGCCACGGCTCACAAACAGTGTCCACAGACACGCTGGCGGGCCCAGCAGGTCAGGCGCCCCCCAGGGTCTGCATCAGCCCGGCCTCCCTCCGTCACAGCGCTGCTCAGAAAGGCCAGCTGGTACCCATGACAAGGACTTGGTCCCCTGTGTGTCCTCAGGCCCAGCACAGACCTGGGGCGGTTAGTAAATACTGTGACAGGAAGGGAGGGGAGGAGCCAGGGAGGGAGTGGGGTTTGGAGACAGGCAGGCAGGCCTTGCTTTATGCCAACCCCTAGATCAGGACTCCAGGCTGAGAAACATTTTCTGGACCCGCTAAGCGCCAAGGAGAGGAGAGGGGAGAGGGGAGAGGGGGGAGGGGGAGGGGA